CCATATTTATATGAGCTCATTTGAAAGAAGAATATCGGGCGTGGTGTCCAACTGATAGCCAACCATGTTAGAATGAGCTTTAGCTCGAGGATAAGGTTGCTCAGAAGCGAGCTGTTATCCTGAAGAAATCTTCAGCTTAATCTCCAGGTTACCGATAGAGCGAGAGACAATGTCTGAGGTTGCTGGTTTTGTTTCGAAATTCGGAACCATTACAAGCGGGGACCTGCGCCAAACCATCACCACAACAAGAACAAGACCAATCAGAAGCAGTAGGCATTCCGTCAAACGACCGCCGCCGTCCGCTCCCAGAATCATAGCCGCCGGTTCCAGAAGTCACGACGCCGGCCACACCCAGCCGCAGCAACAGCTTGTACGTACAGAATCCTTCATTTAGTTGCTAGAATCTCTAGCCTTGATCAAATTGCTCTGGCTATGCGATGGTTCATTTTTTCCTCGATTAAGTCGTTGAATGGGGTTAGCGATGAAGAATAGTGAATTGGGTTTAGGGCAGCAGCAGCAGAAGGAGCGGCAAAGCTCCACGGCGGTTGATCACGATATCGACGGGGAACGGGAGGTGGAATGGGGAATGGAGCTGTGACTACTTGTTCACTTTTAGGGACCTCGGCCTCCAAGATTTGGTCCAGGACGCTGTTGAGCAGAAAGATGCCACCGTCTCTGTTAAGCTATGTGTTGAGAAGGTAGACCTTTTTACCTTTACTACCACATATATCATTTCAATCGGGCTGCTAGAGCCTCGAAGTAACATGATTGATAGATTGTATTTTCCCCCCTTTCTTTCTGTTGTGTATGGTTTCGGATGTTAGCACGCGAGTTTTGGGTTCTCAGTGGACGGAACCATCGTCACATCCTTCACCAAGAAATGCATCAGCTGCAATTCCCCTTACTCCACACAGGTTCGTAACATAATTCCATCTGCAGCCTGCAGACAATCAGTTCATTCCATTCATTGTACCCGTTTCAAGAGCCGTTTGTGTGGGTGTGTTGTTCCATGAACAGATTGATACAAATGTGAACGTGTGGGTTCTGCCGTCGAATAGACAGAAGCACGACAGAGGTCCAATGGATGAATTTCCACTCATTGGAGGGGACGACCCTTCTGTAAACTCAATCTCCCCTGCTCTAAAGTGATAACCCTTTTTCCCCTTTTGTTTCCCCTTCTGAATTAAAATTAAAATCTCTTGGTCATTCTGCAAAACTTACAGGTTATCTACGTGAAGCCAGGTCACGAAGCCGATCTTGACTCATTGGTAAGGGATGCAGTCCGTTTAGCCATTTCTGTTAAGGTATCATCCCTCCGCAGAAGCTAAGCTAAGCTAAGCTATAACTCCCTCCCTACTTTATTATCGGTAAGGACTCTAGACACGAGCTTGCGCGCGTTGATGTTGTACTCCTTGATGCAGGATACGTCGGATACATGTTCGGATCGTTGTGAGAAAACACAGCCCAAATTACACTGTACGAAAATCAGTCGATTATGTTCCATTTTGTCAATTGTGGTTTGTTTTATCTGATGAAAGTGCAGGGTGCCCTTGTTATGTCTGACATTACTGGTTTTGGGTTTGCTTCGAGCGGCAGATATTGGGAAGCAGAACCCGGTTGGTGTTGACAAGAGATGGGCGAGGCTTTTGCAGCTCAAGAGTCAACCAAGTATGTGATATACAGATGAGGCGAGGATTTTTGGAAGTGGCTGCTACTGCTATGCCTCCTTAGGGGTTCTCCTTCCTAAGCACATAGAACTTTCAAGAGATCACCACTGAAACTCAAGGTGTGTTACAGATTGTTGTCATGTTGTAGAAATAAGGGGATGGTCGTTGTATAGGTCTGAAACCCCTGTTGTATTCTAAATTCTCTATACAGACTTCTATTCTATGACTATGCATACCAAGGTCCCTAGATATCATCCCAGGTGCATCTTACTATCTCCCAACATTACTTATACATCAATCTCCCACATTGCACAGCTCATAGTTATACAAGTTACTATCGACATTATTGTAGATGAATTTCTAAAATTGTACCAAGTTTGTTTGAGAAATATTTTGTTAGTAAAAGGAAATTGTAAATGATTCCACATGCTTTATTCAAGAATGTTTGCTATGAACCTGTGTATTTGCTTCATTATCGTGGCGAAGTTTAGAGAAGCAGTAGAAATGCTTTCAGTTGGCTTGAGATGCTGCGCATAGAAGAACTCGAGTACAACTTGATTATCAATGTGCAGTTCAACTGCGTCAGACTTCAGAGCACTAATAGAAGCGATCACCAACATTCAACAGGTATTCAACACTTCCACGAGTTAATAGATAGATACCTGGAAGCTATTGTAGCCCACATTTATAGAGAGACTAATAGGGTATGTTGACTGCCTACCTAATCAAGAACATTCATTACTGATTTACGTGTGGTTTTCATATCATATCGTTAGCCAATCTATTTATTAAAAGAAAATTGATTCTCAACAAAATATGAAGATTTGTTTGTTAACAAGAAACTTAGATGAATTCATGCATAATTAATGGCTGACCAACCCCACCCATACACCACAAAGTCTTTCCCTGTTTTCTTTTTGGTGTGAAACTTTGAATCTAGGGTCGTCGGCGTTAACTATGAACACAAAATTAGTAAAATGCATCGACTAAGTCTTTCTTGGGCAAAATCATGACTTCATTAAGGTTTAGGTCGAAAATTTTGAAAAAGTAGGATGTTAATTGTGGTTTAGTTGCAGTTTTGCGACTTCGCGCCCGGGTAAGAAATAAAAAGAGATCCTAGCATATAATTGGGGTTAAAAAGAAATCTCGTTCTCATTCTCAACCCTAAGCCTCTGTTAAACCCAGGAGCAATTATGTGCACAATCGTACATAACCTGCCACCTCAGCACCACATGTCCACATCGGGATTTAATCTTTTCTCCTCTAAATCCAATGAGCTATATATCTCTTCGTTTTAAGTTGGAATTTAATTTTTTCACTAGTAAATCATATTATTATACTCTTCAAAATGATATCAACTTTTATATATTTTTAAAATAAATTTTTTGAGACATTTAGTACAAGTGTATACCATGGTGGTATTGTTTGGTATTACATAAGAGCATATCACGTGGTATGAAAAGTGTACCACCATGATGGTATGAACAATAATAGAGTATAGAATGTTTGAATACATGATAGTAGGAATATAAGAATTGTTATGTACCACATTCATCATTGTTTAGCACAAGATACCACCCCTATACCAGGGTAGTATGGGGTGGTATTTTTTGATCCTGTATTTTTCCCCCGTAAATTTGTAAATCCAATAGATAATGATGAACTCGTTCTTTCTGTACAAAAATTTTCAAAATCGACATAAAAACAGAAGAGATACCATATGGTATGTAGTTGATAGCGAATGGTATAAAAAAATTCTCGAAATATATTAAAAATAGATATCATGTTGTAGATCACAACAAACTCGTTCGATCTGTGCAAAAAAAAAAATCCAAATTAAAATGAAGAAAGATAAGAACCGATTAAAAAACTATGGAAAATAAAAAGCTATTAATTCTCATCCTTTAAATCTGAGGCCACTTAAAATGAAATGCAGAGATTTAGAAACGAATGCAATACATATGGAATGAAGTTGGTAATGAATTGTATAAAAAAACTTTCTCGAAATATATTAAAAATGGATCTCATTTTGTATTTTTGTAAATCATAGTGAACTTGTTCCATCTGTGCTAAAACAGTGGCTTCATACAACACCTGGATATGACATGCTTTCTTCGGTCCTTCTGGGTCGAACAATGACATCAATGTACTTTTGGGTTTGTCTCCGGTGTTTGACCGTATTCTCAACGGATTCGCTCCACGAGTACAATTTGAGGTAAACGGTCATACCTATGATCAAGGTTATCATTTAGCTGATGGTATTTATCATTCGTGGTCAACTTTAGTGAGCATATTCAACAATCCAAGCTCAAACAAAGAAGTCTTGTTTGGTCAATGTCAAGAAGCACATCGAAAAGACGTAGAGCGGGCCTTTGGAATTCTTCAAGCTAGATGGGCAATCGTTCGTGGCCCCCCGTGATCTTGGGATGTTGCCACAACTAATGATATAATGTTGACATGCATTATATTGCACAGCATGATAATTGAGGATGAGCAGGTTGATTCTCACGATGAGATGGAAGATAGTCTTGATTATGAGGTCCACGACCAACAACAAACTAATGTCGACAGAGATATTTCAACCCTAACTGAGTATTTGGTTAGTAATAATAGGTTTCGTGATGCACCAACACATCATGAGATTCGATAGGACTTGGACGAGCATATTTGGAACTTGCATGGAAATAATTAGCCATTTTTGTTGCTTGGTGTCGATGCTAGGATGCATATAATTCAATTAAAATTGTAATTGGTGACGATTTGTTTTATAATTCAAGAATGCATTTTCATTTCAATAATATCTTTTCCTTTCTTACAGTGGTCTAGTTTTTGTTTACACACAAATTCGAGATGATAAATATAAATTTTAAGTAGAATGAGTTTAATTTAAGTCATTTTATATAAAAAAACATACTTTAAAATATTTTTAAGATATCAATACAATAAGAGTAGAAAAAAATAAATTAAGCAAAATATCATTTTCAAATAGCCATTAATCTCAAAATTATCCCACAATTTAATCTCAAACTATCCCACAATTATCTCACTAATTATTCCCAAATTTAACCCCAAACAATCATTAATTAAAAAAAAAGAGGGGCTGGGCGTGACGGTGGGCGGGGCAACCGACCACTTTCCATCCCGGGAATCGCCAAAATGTTCCCCAAATTTGGCGATTCATTTACCGATTTTCGCCAAATAAAGTGTCCCGCTGGACCTGGAGACTCCACTTACCCGTATTTGTCGATTTCCCTATATTTGCCCAACCCATTGGACTCAGTTTTACTGAACCTATCCGTAACAGTTAAAACCCTATTCGTCAAGTTTGTAGAAATGATTTTCTCTCGATTAGTCAGGGTTGCCGCCACATCTCTGTCATCCATCGTTGCCCCTTCCGGTTCGTCTCCTCGTAATGCCTCTTTCAGCTCCGCCGCAGTGCCGAACCGCTACTTTTACAGTCCAACGAATCGATCGGGTACCGAGTTATACCGCCGAATTTCGCCGGTGGGAGATCTTAGGATCCCCAGCATTTGGATTCTCAATAGCTGGATACAGGAAGGAAGATCCGTTACGAAAGACCAACTCGTTTCTTACATTAAAGAACATCGCTGCTACGGCCGCCACTATCTCGCCCTCAAGGTACGCTTTGGGACGGGATAGAATAACAACACTGAATGTGTTGTTACAATAACAACAGAGGTAAAAGGGTCACATTGACCCAAAATTAATAAAATAAAAATTAAATTAATTGACTTACTCGGCTCATGCGCTCTCTTCCTCTCCAACATAATTGCTCCCAGTCCGAGATCTATATTCCATTCCCCGGCAATCGCCTTGTCTTTCTCTTTCTCTCAACTTTCTACTCCGGCCGCGCGATTGCTCTCTGTCTCGTCTCGCCGGCAGAAGACCTCTTTAATTGAAAGGGCTGGAATTAGATGTCGTTCACTCTACCGCCGGGTTGCCGGTTCTACCCTTCCGACCAGCAGCTCCTCTGCTACTACCTGTCCAAGAAGAACGACGTAGACGGCGGTGACTGTCGAGGGGATGATGGCAATGGATACGATTTGATAAAGGAGCTCGACCTATATGATTACGAGCCGTTTGATTTGCCGGACGATTCCTGTTATTATTATTTATGTTTCTCCTGAGCTTGTACTTGTTGACGACCATGGCGGACAGCGACGGCGTGGGGGAGAAGAGGCTGCAGTTGACGATCAGGATGTCGATGTCCTTGGGCTTGAGCCCTGTCCGCTCGAAGAGGCTGTCGACGGCGGAGAAGATGACGAGCTCGGCCTCGCCGCGGGCGGACTCCATGGTGGGCTTCGGTGGGATGTAGTGGATGGCGGGGGGAAGGCAGGTTTCTTCTCCGAGGCCGGAGCGCTCGAGGATCGGCATCTGGAACTCGACGGATTTGGGGTTGTCTCTCAGGATGAGGCCGGAGTGCTCCATGAAGGTGGAGAAGGGGACGCGGCAGGTGACTGGGGGCTTGTAGCAGGCGTAGTCGACGAGGTAGACGGTGCGGGGCTTGGATATGAAGTAGACGGTGGCGACGGAGGTGATGAGGAAAGAGGAGGAGAGGACGACGACGAGGTCGAGGCGGCGGTGGAGGGAGGTGTAGTAGAGGTTGAGGAGCTCCTGCGGGCCGGTGCGGAGGATCTCGACAGTGAAGGCGAGGAGGATGATTCTTTGTCATTAGAAGGTGATCAGAATCTTGAGCTTGTTAGTTCATGTTCCCTTTCGGTAGCTAGTGAGACTAGTAGCTTATTTGGGGAAGAATTCTTGATTTTTGAGGCCAACTCCGAGTTTGGAACAAGTAGTAGTTCGCTAGAGGTTGTTGACCAGAGCATCTGTGGTGTTGATATTAGCTACACAGCCACAGATCTGGATGAGTCAAGTATTGTCTCTCAAAATTCCCTAGCTGATGCAGCGAGCCACGCAGAAGAAGTTAATACTACATCCCGTTCAGACACAAAGACTATTCCTCCTGTTGTTGTTCAGTTGGCGCTGGAGAAAGAGGCTCGTGGAGCAGCCATTGCTCGTAGTGTCTTTGAGTTGGACTATGTGCCCCTCTGGGGTTTTACATCTGTTTGTGGAAGAAGACCAGAGATGGAGGACGCAGTTGCAACCGTGCATCAGTTTCTGAAAATACCTATGCAAATGCTAGTTGGTAACCAATTGCTGGATGGCCTAAGCAAGTGTATAACCCATCAGACTGCTCATTTTTTTGGAGTCTATGATGGTCATGGAGGGTCACAGGTTGCAAACTACTGTCGTGACCGTGTCCATACTGCATTGGCTGAGGAGATTGGGTTTGTTGGGAATGGTTATTGTGTGACTGATGGTTACCAAGAGCAATGGAGAAAAGCTTTCACAAATTGTTTTTTAAAGGTTGATGCTGAAATTGGTGGAACAGAAGTCAGTACTGATGAACCAGTTGCTCCCAATAACTCGAGTTGTTGGGAGAAGGTTCTGCTGGATCTTATACCATACTCTTACAAGGAAGAGGTAGAAGAAGTGGTTGACTAGGGTTTGGTACAAGCCCCCACCATTGCTTTCCCAGTAGCACTCACCATTTCTCGAAAATTATTAGTCAATGACTTCCTTCTCAAGCAGTTGGATCGGATACTTAACATCTCTAGCTTAGCTAATTACGTTGTTAATTGCATCATTAAAACACAGTAAAGCAAACCAAAAACGTTCTAATGCAGACCATAAATATATTAAAACAAACCAGAAACCTCGCAAAGCAAACCACAAAAGTTTCGAAAGCACACCAGAAATACAATAAAGCAAACCACAAACAATAAAGCAAACCACAATAACAAACCAGAAACGTCCTAATGCAAACAAAAAATCTATTAAAACAACCCAGAAACCTCGCAAGGCAAACCACAAATATATTAAAACAAACCAGAAACCTTGCAAAGCAAACCACAAAAGTTTCGAAAGCACACCAGAAACTTCTTAATGCAAACTATAAACCTTCTAATTCAGACCACAAATCCCCTAAAACAAACCAGAAACCCCACAATACAAACCACAACAGTTGCGAAAGCACACCAGAAACCTCATAATGCAAACCACAAACACAGTAAATCACACCACAAAAAAGCAAACCATAAACGTCCTAATGCAAACCAAAAATATATTAAAACAAACCAGAAACCTCACAATGCAAACCACAAAGTTTTTGAAAGCAAAATAGAAACTTCTCAATGCAAACCACAAACACGATAAAGCAAACTAGAAACTTCTTAATGCAAACCACAAACACGATAAAGCAAACCACAAAAGACATACAAAAATATGAGAAACCAAACCATAAATCTCACAATGCAGACCATAACATCCGATGGTCGTTGACCGTTGACCGGTCAACGAAAACCGTTGACCGGTCAACGAAACCCGTTGACCAAACTCCAATGACCGTCAGTGAGTAGATTCCGGCGCCGATACGCATATTCCGGCCCCGATGACTAGTTTCCGACGCCGATAAGCATATTCCGACCACGGTGAGCATATTCCGACGCCGGTAAGCATATTCCGATGACAAAAAAGCATATTCCGGCGACAAAAAAGCATATTCTGGTGACCGGCGACCATTTTCCGGCGACCGGTGGCAGAACTCCGGCGACCAAAATTTTGGGTAGAAAATAAAAAAAATATTTTTTATTTTTTATTTTTTTATTTTTTTTATTTAGATAGATTTTTCATAATGACAATTATACCCCTGCTTTGATTTTACACTAGGTCAACTCATCTAATAAAAAGTCATCACAACCCTAACTTCCTATTGGTTGGAGACTAGTGTTGTTACAATAACAACACAAGGGGTGTTGTTATAGTAACCGGTCCCGGTAGGCTTTACCTTGAACACTGAAATCGTTCCCCCCTGATTAGGGTTTCGTTCACTCTGAAACAAGTATAAGTTGATTAACCTCTTTATACTGTGCTTGGCATTAGTGGATCAATTGACTCTGCCATTTGTGTTGTGATTTTGTGGTTGATAGATATGTTGGAATCATACTGCTTTTGAAGCTTCAGCAGTTTAGAATCAATCCATCATTAGTTGGGTTTTTTCTTCTTCTGAATGCTGTTCTTGTTGTTGCCATGAGTTTATGAAGAATATCCTGCCCTTTGGTCCTGCTGCAGATTTCAAAGTGGATGACAGACAAAATGCACCTCGACCTCACATCAGAAGATGCTGCTATGAGACTGGAGTTGATAGCAAAGGTCCAAGGGATAGAAAAAGCAGAGCGGTATTTCTATAGGCTGCCGCAACAACTCAAGGGGATCGATACTTATGGAGCACTTCTAAGCTCTTACGGTCATGTTCAAGCTGTGGAGAAACGAGACGAAATAGACCGAGGCCATGACCTGTCGAGCCTCAGTTACAAAGAGAAATTTGATGCTCTCGTCAAGGAAATCGATGATAGGGGCATCTCCTTGGATGCAATGACTTATAGCATACTAATATCTTCATATGGTGCTTTTCTTGATGTGAATGGAATGGAGAAAGTCCTGATAAGGATGGAATCCGATCCAGATGTCAATCCAGGCTGGGGTATTTACAACAAAGCGTCAACCATTTACAGGAAATCTGGGATGAAGGAGAAAGGAATTGAAATGCTGGAGAAAGCCGAGGGGCTCATAACAAAGAACAAGGATATGAAAGCTTATTATTGCCTCATCACCAACTATGCTGCCATGGGGGAGAAATCTAGAGTCTTGGGGGTTTGGGAACTTCTCAAAAAGAATGGCAAGGTTCTCAATAAGGGATATATGAATGTGATAAGTTCTCTACTGAAATTGGAAGATTTTGAGACTGCGGAGAAGATATTTGATGAGTGGGAATCCCGGAATTTGTCTTATGATGTCCGTATTCCCAACATTTTGATTCGTGCTTACTCGACAAGTGCTCTCCTGGAAAAGGCAGAGACAATGGTCGACAGGGTAATAAAGAAAGTCGGCGAGCCCCATGCACATTGGGTTCGGTTAGCCTGACTACCCCTAAAGGGTTAGTGATTTTTGACACCCCCTTATGATTGGCCAATTTTATTTCCAATCATTGGCATGTATTAATTAAACTGGTTTTTTTTATTTTTTTTAATCTTGTAATTTCGGGTCTCTCACCACATTGGAAAAGAGAAAGAATCTGGGGAAAAACGAAATCACCCCATTAATTACATAATTAATTTCTCTCACTGGTAGTTTTTGACTAAACATTGGATTAATACCCGTTCGACTTCTACTCATAATATACGTACCACTCCACTAGTACACGTACCACTCCACTGGTACACGTACCACTCCACTGGTGCGAGCAATCCACAAGGTAGGTTAGAGTGAGAACAATACCAGTGCAATGATATTTTTCATAACAATGATAAACAATAACGGAGCAACAATGCAGTACCACTTCAATGATACAAATACCACTCCACTGGTACACGTACCAATCCAGTGGTACACGTACCACTCCACTGGTACACGTACCACTCCACTGGTACACGTACCACTCCACTGGTACGTTTCCTCTGCCGCCGTCTTCCATATGCTCGACGTTAGAGACGAAATCGTCCAGATCATCTTGATGATTTCCGACCGTGTGAAGTGATGAAGTCGATGTCGCATGAGAGGAGACTCGAGGGGAACGGAGGGACGGGAGAGGGTCAGCGGAAAGGGAGGCAACGATAAGTTGGGCCACTGATGGAAGTTGGCCGACGGAGGGTGGACCGCCGGAGGGAGGGTTTGCTGGACTGAGAAGACGCCGGGAGAGGGTTCTGGTGGAAAGAAATTTGAAAGGAAGAGAAGGGGAGATGAAAGATTGTTGTTTCCCGTGTATCATTATTATGGGAACTTTCCCATGCATCATTATTATGAGAATTTTCCCAATAAAGCAATAATAATGACAACTTCCCAATAAAACAATAATCATTAATACTTACCCAAAGATGAAGGACACGTGGATAGCTGCAGGAGGGGGTGTCAAAAACCCAACCCCTTTTGGGTAGTCATAGTATCCTGCCCCATGCACATTCTTGGCTTAACCTGGCAATAGGTTACCTCAATCATGGTCAAACTGAGAAAGCCATGGAAACCATAAAGAGAGCTGTGAACGGTTCTAAGTCGGGTTGGAGGCCCAACCCTAGGGTTTTGGAAGACTTTCTGGAGCTGTTAGCGCGGAGAGGGGATTGCTTGGAGGAAGTAGGACAACTGATCAAGTCACTGGCTGACAACGATGTTGTACCCTTGTCAGTTAGATTCAGGTTTTCGGGGAATCTTCGCGTGTGGTCGTTAGATCATGAGTTTGATGGACATGCCAACGGGTCGGGTTTTGCCAAAATCATATCCAAACTCATGAGTTTATCTGTGAAAAAAAAAACTCGGGGTAAGACCCACTGTGTTTGAAAAACTCAAACCCAACCCAACCCAACCCGTTGGATATCCGCATGTTTATGGCTACTCATGAGTTTTTGTCGAAAAAAAGTTACAATAACAAGTTCATATCAAAATAAAAGTGAAATATCAATCTCTCAATACAAATTATCCATATATAAAACACCATTATAGAAAATTCAAGCAAATCAAAATTAACCATACAAATTGTTCAATACCAATCTAGAAAACTTAAAAAATTTTTGAAGCAAATCACAAATTATCCATAAACAACATGATTAAGTCTTCCTCGTCAATTAAGCTTTTTCACTCCCACTCGATAATATCAACTCATTCTACACAATTAGAAAGAAAAAATTAAACATGTCTCCACAAACATAAAGAAGATTAGTTGTTTAGAAATATACCAGAAAAATTAATTACCATGACATTACGCTTGGTTTTTATATGGATTATGGTCAACATGGCAGCAGTTCCCTTCGAGGAGTGATACTAGTTGATGGTCCCTAACCTAGCACTATGCTTGTCCACGAATGTTGGAAGCTCCATAGTTACGACGAGGAGTTGTAGAGTTTGCTATTCGACTTGCAGCAGCCAAATTAAGTTCCCAGTCCCCATTGTCAATAGACTTGACCCCTAAACCTTCTCATACACAACAAGAAAAAGAAAAAAAAAGTAAATACAATATATTAGCCATAACTATTAAGTAGCGGGGAATTATAGCCACAACTATCGAAATACAAATTATTAGCCATAACAATTGTTGCTGGTCAAGATTTGGCTAACAGCCGTTACTGTTTTCAAAATTTTAATGGAGAGGGCCATGTCAGCATTTGTAAAAACTATGATATGATGACTGCCACGTGGGAGCCAGCTCAGCATCGTAAAAGTTTAGTCATCATTACTAACAGAAGTGTTAACGAAAACTTAGCGATTGGCTAATAATTTGTATTTTCATAGTTGTGGCTATAATTCCCCGCTGCTTAATAGTTATGGCTAATATATTGTCTTTGCCAAAAAAAAAAGCTCCTTTGTCTCTAATCCCCCTTTGCACGACATTGGAAACATGCTTACCCCAGGGAATCAGCTAGTTGTTAGTTGTTACTAGATAAGCTCGCTTGCGCTTCGCGGTGACTAAGCGAAACTAACGATATAAATGTGTGAAATAATTAGAGAATTGAGCGAAATTAACGATATAAATGTGTGAAATAATTAGAGAATTGTAATTCATCAGACAACAATAAAACCAACAAAAAGAAATCACAAAAATATAGTGGGGAACTTTATAGCAACTTGCACTTGCTGGCCAACAATGTTATAGATTAGAGAAGGACGATCTACATATTATTAAGTAAGAATATGTTCAATTTGGAGTTTCACAACTATTAGTTAGAGAATTCACGAAGTTTCTACATCTGAAATGAAAATGAACAAGGATGAACTTAGAATTACCCTAGGATTCCCTATAACATCCCGAACATTTCCCCGAATAAGATATTGTCCGCTCTGGGTCTAGACCCTCACATATTTAGTCTTGGGGTTAATATCAAGGTGACTTCTCATAAAGTCACCCATCCTTCCAGAGTTCCACCCTAAACACGTTTAACTTCAAAGTTCTCACAATAACTCATTCATTTCACCCCAAACGCGTCTTGTCAGTTAATGTCGGTTTCTTACATATGAACCATGGATATCTCTCGTGTTTTGTCGATGTGGGATTTGCTTAATTTGTTACATACACCCCCTCTTGGAACTCAACGTCCTCGTTGAGATTTGTTCTACCATCGTTCAAGAGGGACACGGAGAGAATCTGATACCACTTGTAACATCCCGAACATTTTTCCGAAGAAAATATTGTCCACTTTGGGTCCATACCCTCACGGATTTAATCTTAGGGTGCATATCAAGTTTAACTTCAGATTTCTCACAACTACTTCATTTCACCCTAAAAAGTGTCCTGTCAGTTAAGGTCGGTTTCTTACTTATTAACCACAGATCTCTCTCGTGTTTTGTCGATATGGTATTTTCCTAAGGTGTTGCACTCTCATTTGAGATGAAAAAGAGAAGACAAAAAAATGAAGGATAAAAAAAGTCAACCAAAGCAGAGGACAAAGACTGAAAACATAACATATGGTTCCACCAGTTTCGATGACACTTTCTTCCTCTTCGTCCGGGTGGGAGATTTCCTTGTTGTCTTTTTATTCGAGCCGAGGGAGAGAGATTATTAACCATGCAAATTAAATATGAACAAATTATCGATTTCAGAGTAGGAAAAACAAATGGATAAAAAAATGAACCACTTAAAAGTTTCCATATGTAACCAAAACAATGAAATGCCACAAAATATGTGGCATCTTGGGAATAAAAGAGAAGAGGTAAAAATAAATAAATGAAAATTATATAAAAAAATTAGACATGTTGAAATGATGTACCTAAAGGTGGAGTTATTTACGTTTTTACGACATAATAAATAGTAAACCTAATGACACTAAAGTTTCGTAGAATTAACAAAAATGGCTTTACGAATAGTAGCTCGTACTTGGAGATACGAATAAAACAAACGAAAAGGGAGAATTGAAGAAAGAAAATAAAATAAATAAAAAGTAATTGAAAAGGCTAATGAACTAATACCCTTCTTCTTGCCATGTGTTCTCCTTCAACAATACCATGTGTCCTCCTTAAACAATATCCCTATAGTCGGGATTAATTATGAAAGAATCGCTTAATGAATAGTAAATGTTGAACCATTGCTTTTATATATCAACAACAATTGGTGTTTCTATGATCATCTCGTCTCAGTTGTGAACTCAGGAAGGTATAATGCCTGGATTACATAAACTAATGAGTTGTTTGGAAATTTGAGATTGTTTTGGTGAGATTCTTACTATATGTTAATTGTTTAGAATATATTATTTTTTTATTTTTTGCATATGTATTTATTAATGTATGTGATGTGATGATAGAAACTATCACTCAAAATGACTAAACGAGTGATTGTTATGTCTTAATTTTTAACTGAGATTGTTAAGTTGAGATTGTCATATCTCAGTTTTTAATTTATGTTGCATACACAATCATACATATACCAAACACTTTATTTTACAATGCATCAAATTATCAATGAATGTATCACATTTACATGTATTCACCACAATGCATCAAATTATCAATGACTGTGTAAATGTATACCAAGGTCCCTAGATATTGCAGGGTGCATCTTACAATCTCCCAACAGGGACCAGTTACGGTAACAACACTAGTCTCCAACCAATAGGAAGCTAGGGTTGTGAGATTTTTTATTAGATGAGCTGACCTAGTGTAAAATCAAAGCAGGGGTATAATTGTCATTATAAAAAATATGTTTAAATAATAAAAAAATAAAAAAAATATTTTTTTATTTTTTCGGCCCAAAATTTTGGTCACCGGAATTCTGTCACCGGTCGTCGGTCACCGGAATATGCTTTTCGTCGCCGGAATAGGCTAGTTTCTCATCGGAATATGCCACTATCGCCAGAATATGCTTACCGGCGTCGGAATATGCTTACCGGCGTCGGAATTTGCCTATCGGCGCCGGAATCTACTCACTGACGGTCATCGGAGTTTGGTCAACGATTTTTGTTGACCGGTCAACGGCCAACGACCACCGGATGTAATGGTCTGCATTGTGAGATTTATGGTTTGGTTTCTCATATTTTTGTATGCCTTTTGTGGTTTGCTTTATCGTGTTTGTGGTTTGCATTGAGAAGTTTCTGGTTTGCTTTATCGTGTTTGTGGTTTGCATTGAGAAGTTTCTGGTTTGCTTTCAAAAATTTTGTGGTTTGCATTGAGGGGTTTCTGGTTTGTTTTAATATATTTGTGGTCTGCATTAGGACGTTTATGGTTTGCTTTTTTGTTGTTTGATTTACTGTGTTTGTGGTTTGCATTAGGAAGTTTCTGGTGTGCTTCGCAAATGTTGTGGTTTGCTTTGTGAGGTTTGTGGTTTGTTTTAGGAGATTTGTGGTATGCATTCGGAGGTTTCTGGTTTGCATTAAAAAGTTTCTGGTGTGCTTTCAAAATTTTTGTGGTTTGGTTTGTGAGGTTTGTGGTTTGTTTTAATATATTTTTGGTCTGCATTAGGACGTGTTTGGTTTGCTTTACCGTGTTTGTGGTTTGTATTAGGGGGGTTCTGGTGTGCTTTAAAAATATTTCTGGTATGTTTTAGACAATTTATGGTCTGCATTAGGAGGTTTCTGGTATGCTTTCGAAATAATTGTGGTATACTTTGTGAGGTTTGTTATTCTATCCGACGTTCTTACTAGATGATTGGAATTAGTAACAATAATTAATAATGTTTTTACTTACCAGGTTCGTATACATAATTACATAGTTATCTCTTAATTAATTATGTTTTCACACATAATTAATGGATCATGTCTCTAATTTGTTTTAAAATAACCAGTTCTCTCTTAATTAATTATGTTTTCACACATAATTAATGGATCATGTCTCTAATTTGTTTTAAAATAACCAGTTCGCAAGGGAGAATGGAATTAGCTGCAGGGAAATCGATGATGAAGGGAGAGGTGTCCTTTCGAGTGAACTTCTGCACTAGTCAGTCTCACAATCACTTACAAACCGGCTTCCTCACGATCATTAGCCCAGCCTTGACTGCACTAGCCGCTGGTTGCCCCTGGCCATGCATGGCTATCATTTCATCTCTATGGGTCCAGCAAGCTTAGCGTTGGAGTGACTTCCTTGTTTTCCATGCTTCCAAAACCGTCTTCCAAGTTCCACCACAACAGTGATGTTGTAGTTCAGCTTCTAAGGAGCTGTTTCGCATCGACTCTATGTGTTCTCTTCTGGAATCTACTTTCGTCCGCCATCCTTGACCGCTTTTATATGAAGAATCCCGAAAGCGCGAAATAATTGAAGCAGAAAGCGAAGAAGAAGGTGATGAAGGATGGTCAATTAAGTTCGCAATCGCCGTTGTATCTCCAGCTTCCTAATCGGTGCTCCCCTTTCCCTCGCCTGGG